TCTCTCTCTCTCTCTCTCTCTCTCTCTCTCTCTCTCTCTCTCTCTCTCTCTCTCTCTCTCTCTCTCTCTCTCTCTCTCTTTTACACGCACACACATACACACACATTCCGTTGTCTATTGATGGGGAACGCAACTTGTTGGAAACTAGGTCCAGCGTCCCATGAACATCGTTAATAGAGCACCAGTCGGAACCCCACCCCACACTCTTCGAGTTGTGTACAACGAACATAGCAAAATATCATACCCATACCATAATCACTACCTTACCCTTCCCTAACTGCATCAACAAACAAACTACAGGCTGCGCACCCGTGCCCTCACGGTAAGTCAATCACGGGTAGTCAATGTAAAACGCCCCCGACGGGCTGCAAACAAAGACAAAAATGTCTCAAGGGTATAAACGCAACCTTACGTGGTGAGAACAATCGTTGCCGATTTTTTTTTTTTTTTAGCAAGGACAATGCTCCAATCTATTCATGGGGAGCGGCACGTGTTGAGAACCGGGCCCAACATTCCATCAGAAAACATATTAGGAAACATACACGAGGCAATTCGCAGCCCTAAGACTGCGGTATAGTGGGCTTCGGCGTCTGCGTCAAGGTGTCGCATTTTCGGCGGCGGACGACCAGGACGCAAAGTGGGTTTTTAGAGGGCAAAAGATTGGGGGGGACCGGTCCTTGGAAAAATTGGGGACTAACTACAGGCAGCTCTGGAATGACCGGGCCTTTTGAAAAAAACAAGGACCGGTCCTCGGGTGGAAGTGGACCCCGAAAAGAAGTGGGGGGCGTTGGACGGGTCCTTTGGTGGAACCGGACCCCAAAACAAAGTGAGGGCATGTGAATTGCGAAAGGGCCCTCAGGCCCGGGCGTTGAGGCCCGACTTCTCAAAACAGGGAGATCAGGTTCAACGAAACGGACGTTTTGCAAGAGCCACCTTTGGCGATTTTTTGTGCTCGGAGGAACCCGCAGAAAAATCTAAAATTTTGAGAATCCATAGATGAGGTTGTGTTATTTACAGGAAAAATATTAGAACATTAAAAAAAATCATTTAAACCGATAAATAATCGTCGTGCCGATTGGGCACATTTTTCATTTTTGCCATTCAACCATGTGTGGGCCAACTTAAAAAATATTCGCAATTTGGCAAATTTTCACTTTCAGAAGAATGCGTGAGAAAATCTGAAAATTGGAGTACTCATAGATTTTGTTGTGATCTTTCTAGGAAAAATGATTAAAAAAAAATAAAAACCATTCCAACTGCGAAATAGATCGCGACCGCAATTTGACCCATGTTCTATCTATCTATCCCCCCCCCTCCCTCTCTCTCTCTCTCTTTCTCTCTCTCTCTCTCTCTCTCTCTCTCTCTCTCTCTGGTAGCCCCATCCCTCCCTCTCTCTCCATCTCTCTTTCTTTCTCTCTCTCACTCTATGTCTCTCTCTCACTGTCATAAGAATAAATGGAACCAAAATCTCTCTCTCTCTCTCTCTCTCTCTCTCTCTCTCTC